ATAAACAACATCATGCCTATCTATTAAATTTTATCTTGTAGATAAAACATCATGAGTTGTAAAGATAAAAGGCCGCTGACTGACAAGGAACTTGCCGATATAATAGTTAGGATTTGGGATAGCGAATTTGGGTTTGATGACGATGATGATATTGTAAATCCAGATTTCTTACCTGATGAACAAGTTGGTACATATGATGAGTCTGAGAACGAGGATCCTGAACCAGTGAACCAAATGGATGAGAATGCTGTATTCACTAATATAGTTAATAACACCGTAGAGGAGCCTCCAGAAACTCTGGTTTACTCCAAGGGCAATGGTATACTTATTTTACAATCAATTTGTGATAAAAATACCAGATGGTTTTTTTTTTATTTTTAGACATTATCTGGAGAAAAAAATGTAACTTATCCTAACACTAACTGGAATTTAGATGAAATCATAGTCTTCCAAATCATAGCTTACCACTAGAAAGTCATTATGAGTATTTTAATTTATTCTTCACAGATAGCCTTTTAGACAAAATTGTGAAGAAGTCAAATTTATATGCCATACAGCAGAATCCTTACAAACCACTGAATATTACACTAAGTGACATAAGCTGTTTATTGGAATTACAATACATATGTCCCTTGTTCATTGGTCCAATACAAGGGCATATTGGTCAGAAGAAATTGGCTTTGAGAAAATAAAAAGTGCTATGTCAGTTAACAGGTACATACGAAAACGATGTGCGAAAAAATCATAAAATTTTTACATTTCAATAATAACGAGAATACCTTATCCCGTGAAAATCCAAACTACAATAGAGTTTATAAAATTAGACCAATAATTGAACACCTGAATGAAGCATTTTTAAATTTTTAATCTTATGCAGTAGCTCTGGATATGCGTATCGTATAGAATTATGTACAAGATAAGAGAATGATCAAAAAACGAGACCTGCTTTTGAACGTGACCTTAGAGCAACTGTATATGTTGTGGTAAGATTGGCTGGAATCATTCCTAGTAATATGAGTCACAGGCTTTATTTTGACAATTATTACTCTTCTGTACCTCTCCTTGTATATCTCTTCAAACAAACTAATAACAGTTTGTAACCGTTTCAAAAGTTTTAGAAAATTCAATATAAATTTGAATATTTTTTTTTATAATGAAACTACTAACCCCATCTATTTGCAGATGTTTGTATTCGACTCAAGGTCCTACATTATTTCTCAACATATCCGATGAGGGCGAACGATATTAAGCTTGTCGGCCACGCCTTCATTTCAAACCGCGAAATAGTTTCGTTGTTTTTTTCTTGTTGCAACCGTTCGTTTGATCGGACCTGTGTTTCGAATGAGTTCCTAAATTAGGGACTCTTTTTTCCGGGAGGTTAAACTTTCAATGATTATGTTAAATTAACTGGAACATTTTCCGACAGTCCAATACTTACTATAATATGGCTTCCAATAATTACATATAATACAAATGGATCCTTACTATTAATTATCTGATGGAGTAGTTAACAGATGGACGGAAACAGGATACCTCTTCTTCTTTGATTTTCCGGAGAATGGATAAATAAGGTTGTACCTTTTTTTATCAAGCCCTATCAAGAGCGAGAATTTTCCTTATGGATTCATAGAGACAAAATATTGGAATACCTTAATTTTATTTAAAGTTTTTTTACTTAATATGTTTAATTAATATTTAACTACTATTATATCCTAAATGTGAACCAATTTCGAAATTTGGGAAAGAAACATAGTTTCATTTATTATTAATGATCAATTTTTGATTTACTACGATATGTAGTTGTTTTTTTTTGTTATTAATAAAGTCAATAAGAAACGTAGGTTTTTTATAATTTTCAGTTTTAGTACAAGCAACCAGTAAAGTAGAGTATAACTTAATAATAACTCCTGTTATTTGACTTGGTTTTCACAAGAGTCTAGTTGACACATTTCTAATTTTTAGATAGCTATGTTGTATTCCTTTATGGAACTTTTGATGTTCTTTGAATATATAATATTATTTGCAGCACATAGTGCCAAACAATAATCTTAAATAAAAACACTTTATGACATTTTACAGCTTCATTAATTTTTAATAATCAATTCGTGATTGGATACGATAATTAGTTGCTTTGTTTATATTAAATCCAACATGAAGTAATATGCAATGTTTATGAATAATACAATTTTGAATGTCTCTTTTATTACTAAATTTTGATTTCCTTTTATACTCGCTTCCTCGAGTTAAAATACAGGATGGCGCCCAGCGATAATTTATTATTTCATGTTATCTAGGCGTGTCTAATTTTTCGAAGTATTACGTAGTTTCTTATTTCTTATTTACATTAAACCGTACCCTACCATTTTCTTCGACTATAGCTATCGTGGCCTTGAGCTGATGTGTGATTAGATGTTCCAAATAGGGACGTTACAAGTTTAGGAACCCTAACAAGGCATAGGATTCCCAATTGTAAGCTTCAGGATGAAAATGCTATAAAAAATGAAGAAAGAGGAACTAGTATAGAGTTTGTTGGTACTTGCGATGGTGTGGAAATAAGTAGCTTAGTGTGGAAATATAACAAATTAGTCACATTTATATCGACTTTGATTTGCTTAGAAGTTCCTAAAACTACTACCTACTACTACTGCTACTAAAGAAATATGACAAGAAAGAAAAGAGAACAAAAGAAGTAAGTTGTCCATATCTTGTACAATAATCCAACAGTCAGATGGGCGGTGTTGAGTTGTTGGACAGTAATATGGGACGGAAGAAAATTATTCTAAGCAGGACAGGACAAATTATTATGCAGGACAGGACATCGATTTACCATAACAAAAAGGGGAACGTCTTCAGTAAGTAAAACTGGGGAGGCGCTACAAATAAAGAAGAGAAAAGGCCCAGCACCGATTATGCCAGTAAAGGATGTTAGAATGGATGGAATTCACCATTGGCCTGTATGGTCGGAAAAACAAATAAGGTGAAAATTTCCACAGTGCAATGGCTATACACATGTGTTCAGCGAAAAGTTTGGTCTAGCACTTTGCTTCACTAAAACCAAGAACTGTTTAAAACATTTTCAGTTTTCCTAAATATTGTTTTAAGTATATCCTTATTTGCATCATGTTGTCATAAGCAACACTTATATTTTTCCAAAATAAAAAAAAAATGGTTGTTCAGAATTTGTTTGTTATTTTTTCTTGTAAAAATAACGAAAATGCAGTCTGCTAAATTTTTTGTAACGAAAAATAAAAAATCATGCAGTGAAGGATTAAAATGGAAAATCGCAGTGGTTGGCTGTATACCATATTTGAATTTTTTTTAACATTTACGCTATACTCCCATTTATATTTTATTAATTATACTTGAACTTGAGAAAAATAAAGTATGTATACAATTTTGGTGGATTGTATTTCATTATTTATATCACAAATTTTATTTTTTGATGATGATCTCCGACAACTTTAATGCATGCATTTCATGATATTTACTTGGATTAAATAAACAATTGAACATAACATTAATCGTATAATAACCAAGGCACCGCAAAGCGTGGCCAGGTCAGCTAGTATTAACTAAAAATATACACGAAACAGGTATTTAAACATGCATTAAAAGGTAGGTCTGTTCAATATATCCTAAAATTTATGTCCTAAACATTTGTCCATATTTAAATAGACCACACTGGCAAAACCACTAAATTCTATTGAACGCATTAACTACTTATTATTTAAAATTGGATAAATGTATTCAAGGTTCCAATATGGGAATATTTAAATGTTTGTAAATTAGTTTTAGAATTTGTACATAACGCAACAACTAATCGATAAATCCATCTGTTTTTGATTGAACGCGAGTGAGCAAACGAGCCTGCTATCATAAAAACAAACATTTCATCCTTTCCTAAAGCACCTGTCATCCATTTATTTCATCCCTGATTTAACAGTCTCACTCAAATATCCCCGAGGACTTTAACCACAACCATAAGCAACAGAATAGACATTTAGAATGTACAAATACGAATTACAAGTATGATGACTGGATTTTTTTTCTCTCCAATGACTGCCATATGGGAAGCTGACGTTAACTATCGCTGTGGTGGAGTATGTTAGCTCACAGAATTGCGTATTCAATAGAAGTAGGAATAAAAGGATGGCCGTATTTAAAATAGGAACAAATTTAAATCTTTTTCAAATAAATAGGCTTATTTTATGATACAATCTTTTAATTATAGTTAAACGGTACTTTTTAAAAAACAACTGTTACTTTTAATAAACAAAATGAACTTTTTTGTACCTTTTAGTATATTCATACAACAGAGGCGTAATAACCCTTAAAATATATCCTAAAATGTGTCTATTCTCTGGCACCATTTGTTTTTATCTGTTGAATTTATACTGAGTATCAGTGGCGTGCGGTGACAATTTCGGAAGAGGAAGCGATTTAATAAAGGTATAAAAAATATTTTAAAAAAATTAATGGGATCATCCTAGTAGTTGGCTGTATACCATCGTTTAAAAAACTTATACAGAAAGTAAAACACTTTACATTTGTCTCTTCGTCGTCAATCACCCATCTATATATAACAGCTCTAAACCCTGTGCCTACCAGAGGAGCTATTTCGTAAATCCAGTGGTCTTACCAGTTATTTTCAAATACAACAGGAGGTATAGACCTCGCTGAATTGAGACCAGCTTCCCTAAAAGGTTCCAAAGCAAAAATTATACGTCCAACGCCAAGACCTATACGAAGAGAAATCGACTCAATCAGAGTTGCATTCTTGGCACAAACAGCTCCCAGAACTATCCAGATTAAAATCATGCAGGCTACCATTTCCAGAAAAATCCTTGGGCTGGAGTTGTTCCCCACTTAAATCGTAAAAAGCAAATTGGTCTTGGTTCAGGCGGCATAAGTACAATCAATATCCCATAGCCCCGAAAATGATTCAATGTATTGTCTCAGCACACATATTAAAAATGTCTGTCAAGACATTTTTCCCGTGATTAAAAAACCAACGACATTTCCGGATTAATATGTACTGGTCCGCTAGCCTGAAGCATTTGTACAACTACTAAAGTTGCCAATCCGAAGGCGAAAGCTGATAGTCCTATTTCATAGTTAAAAACACACCCCATGAATCCCAGAAATATCATGATTGCCATTCCAAGAATTTCTATAAATAGTCCCATTAATATTGGACTTGGAAAATGTTCACTGTCGTCAGCAATCATCTTTACAATTTTTAACACAATAAAAAAATCTAAAAAGTGTTTGAAAGTAAACACAAGATTTTTTCTGGAAATGGTAGCCTGCATGATTTTAATATGGATAGTTCTGGGAGCTGTTTGTGCTAAGAATGTAACTCTGATTGACTCGATTTCTCTTCGTATAGGTCTTGGCGTTGGATTTATAATTTTTTGTTTTGGAACCTTTTACGGGAGCTGGTCTCAATTCAGCTAGGTCTATACCTCCTGAAGCATTAGGCAAATAACATCAGATATTTCTCCTTCACTTATATTAGTAGCATTTCCAATAATATCTAAACTCTTTACTTCTACAATTGATAACATCAAAATTTCCTTTAAATCACATAACACTTTGGGTTCCTTCTTAATCAATACCAAAGATAGGATAAATATACTTGATAAAAGTGGTATTTACAAATTAAAATGTGATGATTGTGATACCTCTTATGTAGGTAGAACCATCAGAAAGTTATTCACTAGTCTCTGAACATTTGAAAAGACCAAATTCTTTAAGTTTTGGTCAACACTTAGTATCCAGCAACCATAATTTTAACATCAATTCTGGTTCATCTATCTTACATGACATTAGTAGAAAGAAAAACTATCTTGAGTTGGATTTATTGGAAGATTTGGAGATTACAAGGGAAACAAATGAAAACTCTCATTGTCTTAATACTTAAATTAATTTAAATTGTACTAAATTTAATCCTATATTTAAAAACTTTATTACAGCTTCACCTCGTAGAAGACCCAGCTCGATTGTTTAGACTTCATGCACTGAGCATTTTAATATTAATTTTAAAGTTTTTCCATTGACTGTGGATTCAACTGAACTACTTGGATTATAACGCATTTATATATTTTGCTTTCAATTTTGATTTTAACTTTTAGTAATTTAACTGCATATTCAGATTTTTCCTTTTTACAGTACTGATAGCGCTTGGTGGACCATTTTATTGTAGTCAACTATCCACTGTCTAATATATTGTTTAGTCTTTTCTTACATTCATACTTTATGTCAACTTCAATCGCTCTCAAACAGACATCCTAATTATTATAGACAGGTTTGAGTGTGAGATTTGGATTATTCAATCTACATAAAAATATACTAATTTATATTTCATCAGTTGATTTCCTATAGTGGTGTCAGTTGGATCTTTGGTCAATACTTAGTTTCATAGAATTTTGAAAGGTGCAGATCACATAACTGCCCTTTACAAGCTGTCATTTGTCACATGTCATCTCAATATTTCCGCCAGACCGGTAGCCCATTTTGTCTCCGGCTTCTATATAACATGTAGCTTCTAATTTTAAAAAAAAATTAAAGTGTTTGTTGTCTTTGTGTATTGTATTGTTATGTCCAAATTTACATGTATGACATTCTACTCATGTCAGATAGGCCACAACTGACGAAGTAAGTCTATAAACGTTTATCACATAAAAACTTTTTCAACCATAAACTTGGAGTTTTTTATCCAAGTGAATTAATTTTCCTTCTTATAAAAAAACGTTTCTTGGCTTATTTCAGATGCCCCTGAAGATGATCTATTGATCGAAAGTACTTGGGCAAGATTTAATTAATCACTGTGTTCGATAGTTGCCTTGTATACTATCAAAGTTTAATTATTCGAACATTCAACCTTATATTGACATATTATAAGTAATTAAAGTATATATATATATATATATATATATATATATATATATATTGTACAATCTGTTTAAAACAACTCTAACCTCTCCGATGTTAACGGTATACTTTTATATCAAATTATCAACTTTTCTTTTAATTGATTATAAATGTGTGCTTCGCGGAATATAATTTATAATCAATGAGTATGTAGTTACCTCATAGTAAATAAACTTTTCCCATACCCATGTCACTTCAATGCGATTTAATGCATAGTTTTTCGGTATATTTCGGGTGATAAATATAGCAAAAATTCATTAGACTTGACCAAAACACTGCGTTAGTTAGATCAAATGTTAGTTAGTAGTTGTAACTTGAATAAAATAATATTCTTAAATAATAATAGTCTAACTTAAGTATTAAAAGTTTAGTTATTATAAAAATACTTTACATAAGATCACTTGTGTTATGCACAAGTTATGCACTAAACTGTACAACTTGTGTTATGCAGATGACCAGGTAATATTTCCAGAATTTCAAAGCTAAGAAAAATATATAAGAAGAATATAGTACTAAGAATAGGTAGAATTACTAAAAATATAATACTAACTGATTTTTAACTTTTTTACTTTCGCAACTGTATATAAACATTGCTAAAATATTAACCGACATTTTGTTAATTTTGATTCTCCCTGTATAGTTAGCCAAATTTTCGTTTACAAAACCCAGGCACTATCAAACAATAACCGGTTGTTATACAATGTTGCAAACAAAATATTCTTCATTTATACATTGTTGTTAACAAGGAAGCGTAGAACAATTAGTGTATTTCGTTAAAGTTGCAGATCGCTTGGGTTATTATACACCCAGCATTGCCTTAACTTGTAGAAAATAACTCTTAAAACAACCGCCGGTTTTGAAAGAGACTTTAGCTTGTTTAAATTTATATCTATGTACAAACGTATTCTATTGCATTGAGACTTTATTCTTTCCTGTCCTATCTTCCGTTCGCATGTTATTTGTTTACTTACTTTAAATATAGTTTATTTATAGTCTCATTGCTTTTATTTGTTTATGGTAATATACATACCCAAAACGAAAGAGAGACACCAGTGAGTTCTAGATTGAACATCTTCCTTCGTCGTTATTGTTAGTTGTTGCTCTGGAAACCATCAGGGTATTCTATCACTTTTTGCCATAAACTGGTCGCATTTTGCTACTGTATTGTTTCTTTTGATCTTGTGTTCTAACTTGGTGGTACCGTACTGATGACGACCAAATAGACAGAAATACGTATTTACGGTTGCCTTCCATCTTTATACCATTGTTTTTTTGTTGTTGCGAGATATGCCAATAATTTTAAGCTTCTTTGATGTCTTTTACGGTTATTCCCATTCCCAAGTTTACATCATCTGCGTATATCATATACATATCTGTTTTGACTTATTATATATGTTTCGGTAATTACACTTGTAATGTAATCTAGAAGGGATCTGTTAGTTGGTTTTGGACTCGTATATATATATATATATATACATATATATTATATATATATATATATATAATATATATATATAATATAATAATATATATATATATATGTATACATATATATATATATATATATATAATATATATATATATATATATATAATATATATGATGACTTTAAACATTATCCTAGTTCAATTTTTAATTTTAAAATTTTTGTATTAAAAAATTTAAACATTGAGTAACGAGTCGAAGTGCTCCTACCTTTTTATTCCTATTTCGTTGACTAGGGCAAGTAAATTCCATGTGTGCTTATAGGAAGGGCTACGGATGACCCTTAAGGGTGCTATCTGGATCGAGGGGGCCTCTTATATGATCGCTCAACGTCAGACTACATGAACATTCGGTCAACTGGGCCTTAGGGACTTTCGAAAAATGTACACCCGTGTTTGGCCGCTCAATGATTTATTGGCGCTATGTTCCCAAATTGTTCCTATAACTTGTATTGCATTGTATTGTCTTTTCTTTTTCGTTTCTAGTTCAGTTGGTATCAGAAAAATATGTATTAAGGATTTTTTTTTGCCAAAATTGGTGTAGTTGCGTATATAAAGTTATCTTTGGATTTAGCGTCTCAGCGATCTATACATACAATAATTATTAAGTAATACGTTTGTATAGAATATTTTCACTCTAAAAATATTGATTAATGGAACACATACCTTACTCTAAAAATATATAAAAAGAGAAACAAAGTAAAAAAAATCAAAGCCTAAATATACCAGTAAATAATTTTTAGTCATCATCATCATCAGTAGCTCGACAACTCTTTCTGGGTCCTGGATTGTTCTAGAATTTTTCTCCATTCTGTTCTGTTCCTTGATTTGTTTTTCCAGTTGGTAATCTTAAGTGTTTTCAGCTCTTGTTCCACTTGTTCCATGTATCTAAGTTTGGGTTTTCCCTTTGACCTTCTCCCTACTGGTGTTTACCTGATTTTATGTTTTGGTGTTTCAGTCTCCAATATCCGTTCAACATGGCCCATCCAGCGCAGACGTCCGATCTTTATAGATGTTATGACCTCGGGTTCATTGTATGCTGTGTATAGTTCAAAGTTATATCTTCTGGGCCATATGTCATTTTCCTTCACCCTCTTATATATGTGTCCAAGGATTTTTCGTTCAAACGTGCCTCATCGCTTTTCGACAGTGTCCATGTCTCTGATCCATATACAAGGACCGGATTTTATCAGGGTCTTGTATATTTTGCATTAGGTTTTTCTTGTGATGTTGCTAGATCTTAGATGTTTAATTAGTCCATTATACGTTTTATTAGCGATATGTATTCTTCTCTTAACTTCTTCACTGACATTGTTATCTGCGGTAACTAGTGAACTAACATATGTAAAATTTTTCATGCTTTCGATGTTATAGTCTCCTATTGTCAGATTCTGTAGGTTTGTTTGGCCTGTCGATTTACTGGCCTTCATGTATTTGGTTTTTATTTCATTAATGTTTAGCCCACTGTTTTGTGCCGCTCTTTCTATCGAATTAAATGCTTCTATCATCTCTCTTTCGCTTCTAGCTATGATATCAACATCATTTGCAAATGCCAATATTTGTACACTTTTTGTTATTATTGTTTCTCTGGTGTTGACTTTTGACTTTCTAATTATTTTCTTTAGTGGGTCTCTAAAAATAATTTTTAGTGGGTAATTTAATATCTGGTATTTCACATGGTCTGGAACACTTTGGATGAAGTTAGCTATTATATCTCGGTCCAAGTATTCTTATTCTTCAATTTAATTTTTCCAATTTATTCTTCAATTTCTTGATAAGACATTGATTTGCTAGATTACGAGGATATTAAG